GCCAGCAGCAGCTCAGCTATGACACAGGAGAGCTGAAATGCTCAAAGCTGGCGACAGGGAAATTGCAGGGGACAGCACGATCCTGTTTACAGGATTTAGAGACCAAGAAATAGGAGACTCAGTTTTAACTCTGAGGCCCACGACTTTTCATCTTTTGTGATCATAGAGTATATTTAGCTCTGGTATGTAGCTTGCTCCCATCTGTGGGGAACAAGTTCTTCATAGAAGTCATATTTAGAAGTGACCCAGTGTCCTTGCTACCAAATTATCAGCACAACAACTGTCTGGTTCCCTCGCTGGTGTCCTCAGCTCAGAGGCAGGCCAGTCAGAGCTGCATTTATCGTTTGAATTACTGGGCATGTGTTTAATACTACAGAGTTAGGGACCAGTATGCCAACAGCTGTGCAAAGGAAAGATGAGATCAAGTACAAGCTGGACTGCTCTGAAAATTCAGACACGTGCATGAATCTGCCGCATTGGGACTAAGTGGCACCAGCCAGATCAGAATAGGAGAATTTTGCATCTGCCGCTCCCCAGCTCCTGCAACAAGGGGAAAGGACTTGGGTCTCTACTGCTAAGGCAGCTGCTGTTGCGCTGGTGAGGATGAAGAGCAAATCCACCGAAGGCAATGGAATCACATAGAGAAGACGGCACAACTCGAGTCATGTGCTGTAAAGACAAAGCTAGAGCCAGCTCAGCCTGGCTCCCCATCACACGCAGGCCTGTGTCCTGACTGCACTGGAACGGCACATGGCATCCTTCACCAGGAGCCTGTCCCCTGCAAAAGGCCTAGGACTGCCTTGAGCTTAGCCCAACATTTATGTGGCCAAGTGTAAGGTCAGTATATCAGACCATGCTCTCCTTTTGTGTTGTTCTACAGGCCTATACTAGATGGAGGACGTGAGCAAATTGTGCTCAAAACCAAAACAAATTATATACCAAGCCCTTGGGTCTGATACCAGCATTTGCCACCTTAAAGTAGATGTCTAAGAAAATTCGCAAAGCCATCTGATCTGCTTATAAATATATGTCTACTCTTAAAAAAAGGAGGGGGGGAGGAAAGGAGCTCTTTCTGACTAGCAAGCATTTGGTCTGAATAGCGGTAACTATGCCCGAGAACTAGCAGCTGAAGCCATTTGGAAAATGGATTTGAATGTTTCTTAGGAAATCCCCCCCCAAAAGCTTTCATGTTATTGGCACACGATAAACGACAGGTGCCGGGTGCGCCATCCCCATGGGAGCCGCTTGTGACCGGCAGAGCAGGCTGGGGTCCTGCGGCGGGCCAGCTTTTTGGTAAGTGGTGCAATAGGAAGTCGGAGCACGGGGGATGCCAGCTGACAGAGGCTGAGCAGAGCAAGGCCAGCGTGCGCTGTTTTATAAGCATAACCACAGAAAAGATGAAAGTTTGTTTCCTTTTATTTTTAACCCAATAGAGAGGTTTTAAGGATAAACAGCTGCAAGGGAGGGTGGGCTGACACAAAGAGGGACTTTCTTCACTTCCTAACTGCAGCAGCGTCAATGCATGAAATTTCAAACTCAAAGAGATTTAACTCTTCCTGATGCTGTCTGAGACCAATGTGGGTCAGTCAGGGAGCCACCAAAATAAGCAACTACACAAGGATGGGCAACAGGGTCTCTGGAGCAACAACATCCAATGTGCAGATATGGAAAGAGCTGGATCCTGCTGCAAGAGACAGCTGTATGTTTCCAAGAGCTCAGTCACTGGTAGATCTCCCACACAGATAGCTCCTTCGCTGAGGCACAGCCACAGGAATGCATCTGCCATATGCTGCTCGCGTCCAGAGCAGCAAGCACGGCTGCAAAGAGGAGAACCAGGGAATCCCCGTTCCCTGCACAGGCTCAAGCCTGTCTCGAGCACTGGAGTCCCAGAGGAGAGGACCAAAAGAGGGGCACCAAGCAGCTCTGCCACGTCACCATGTACTCCTGGTCAAGTGGTCTATACAGTTGCTCCTTAGCAGCTTCCAAGAAGTTTCATGTTTCTCAAAATTTCTTAAAAGGGACACTGCTGCAGTAGGAGACAGGTCCATTTGGAGAGAGAGGGTCTTCCCCTTCTCTGATCACATACGTGCAGCTCTGTGCTGGCTGGTAGCTGCAGGGACATGCTGTGGCATTGCCAGCTGCCTCCAGCAAAGCACGGTCTTTAAGCTCCGGGCTAAGCCCCCAGGCCTAATGCTGCTTCCCTAAACTTGGAAGCCAGATCTCCGAGTCACCCTGACACAGACGCATCCTTTGCCTTGCATTACTGTTAAGATCTCTGGTTACGACAATCTAGAGACTACTTTTCAAAACAGGATTTACTACCGACTCCGTGCTGTCTGCTGTGCGAGTGCCTCCCCTGCCAGGACGGCAGGAGGAAGGAGAGAGACTCCTCGTGGTTTCTCTTTCTGTTCCGCATACCCCAGGCAATATTTACAGCTGCATTTGGGTGCCTGGGGCTGGGGGGGGAAGCCTTCAGTTTATAAATAATCCTCACTGATGTTTGGGTAATTTTCATAGTTTCCATTCATTTCAGGTTTCACCAAAACCTGCATTTTGTGGCTTGATAGCTGGAACATGACTGGCTGGCTTTCTCTTATTTAACTGCCTAGCAGTTAATGGGTTGTTCATTCATTTCTTCCTTGCCAAGTCTAGCTTGCACACCTAGTACCCCATGTCCCATAACAATTGTCTGTTGGAAACCACGTTAACCCCTGGGCACAAACACTTTGCAGAGACAGGAACTGCAGGAGGGAGAACCGGGCAACGTCTTACACTGTGGGCAAAGCAGACGAGCCACTGAGCTTCATTTGGGGAAGGTCACGATCCACTCCACACTGTGCAGAGCAAATGGACAACAGCAATTTGATGAAGCTTCCAAAGACAGACAGACCCTGATAAGCTCCTGATCTATCCTCAAATCCCACAGAGGGCCAAGGAAATTGTGGGTTCAAGGGAATGCAAGAGTGGAGCCTGTCAGGCTCTTAATTTTGTTGGTCTACTGACGAGACAAAGAGGGAACCGGCAGCCAAACTCTGTTGCTTGACTGAGCACCTGATGCTTTGCTCAGAAGCCACAGAGCAGCCCCAGTCGTGGTGCTCAGGCTCCACATTTTGCTAAACCCGCGATTTCAGTGATTCTGCTCCAGCAATGACTGAATGCAATGAAATTCTTGTTTACTGATGTTTGCAAATAACGATATATAACGCCCTTCCTCCAACCCTCCAGTCTCCTGGTTCCTGTCTCTTGGCAACTGATAAATAATTTATAGTGCTCTCTGCTGTATGTGCTAACTGCAGCTCTGCTGGTTTAATGATGAAACCAATGCCTAAGAACTGGAACAGTAACGGTCTAGATCACAAGGAACACGTAAGTCAGTTGATCCTATGCTCCTCTGTATGCAAAACTAAAAGCAAACTGTTCAAAAAGAAAAACTACGTTTTCCAGAGCTGCAGGGCTGCGGCTGCTGGGTAGGAACAGCACCCACAGGAACAGCAGATTATCTGCAAGAGGAACAGGCGTGTGCCAGCACTCCTGCCAACACGAGGAGTTTAACGTGCTTCACCCTTTTGTTCTTTTCTGTTAGCATGTGTGGAAAAACTCGTAACAGGCTGGTTTTATCGTCAACTGCTCTTGTGCACTCCTGTGCAATTTGGAAAGCCTCTGGGGTTCACATCTCCAAGATACCACTGCTGCCTGCTTTGGGGGCTAAGAAAGCTACTGCAGCTCCCATGCAAGGAGAGCTATTAAAAAGCAGCATCTTGTCTACGCAGACTACTGTGGCTCTTGCAGCAAAAAAAAAAGACTCTTCATTTCATGACAGATGTTCTTCGAGTCCTTCCAACAGAGCCGTAACCACTTATGAAAACTGGCATGTTTGAGCCATACACACAACACAGGTACACTGGGTGTGCACTATTGTGGCAACACAGTCTCTTACATCCATAAACTCATTGGAATGAGATTACCCAGGCAGCTGGCAACTGCAACCATGAGGGCACAGGAGTGAAAGTTTCTGTTTTGTTGTTAGCAGATTTTTTTTTTCTTTAAAAAAAACAAAACCAAAAAAAAGCACCCCAAAAACCCGTGAGTGGAGAGAGGGAAAGGGATGAAGTATTTCTGTTGACAAAGGCCAAAATCCCATCTATTTATATTAGAGTCACACAAAACCCAGAACAGAGCAGTGCTCAAAAGCTTTAAAAAATGCACCTACTTTCTTAATGCTCTTAGAAAATAATAATAAAAAAACCCTATCAATATTCACTTTCTGAAATGGTGTAAAAAAAGAACTGCATCAATCATTAAACAGTTAAATGAAGGCAGTATGACAGTCACTATTGTTCTCGTGAAGCACACTTGTCTTTTGCCGAGCAGCTGCCAGATCCTATTAGATGTATAAAAAGAGGACTTTTCTAACCGAGCAGGGATGGTATAAGCTATTGAAAACAGCAGACAAAAGCCCACTTTTGCAGACTATTCAAGCCTTGTATAACATCTGTCCAAAATCAATTTTTGACCTAATGTTACTTTCATTAAGTAACAGACTTTGTTTCCAATGCAATTTGTTTTCTAGGATAAAACTGTATCCTAAGCATTATTACGTGGGAAACAGCACAGAGGAAGCAGACGATCTTACTTGAGAAACATGAGAACAGAATTTGCTTAATCGTTTTGACACCTTAAGTACTATAATAGACAAACTATTTTCCATTTATTTGAATTCTTGTGAATTCTTGAAGTTGGCAAAGCAGCAAGCAATGCATTGGGTTTATTATGACTAAGATTTACTGAGGATAAAGGAGGATCTTTGGGAATTACATTAAAGCTGACATGCACAAAACTTCTGAAATCTTCACCAGGAATAAAGTACTCCGAACATTAAGAACAGCTGTTGAAACTGTCCACTCTTGACGGCTAAGGCTTTTTTCACGCATTTTAAATAATGAGGAAGTTGATTCATGAATTTGATTTCAGACTGACTGTTAAGAGACATTTCCACTTACCCAAAGGGTCTCTGAATGAAGGCTGGATGTAGCTGCTGCACACCTATGGTAAAACCTAAAAAAGCGTTCAGAAAAAAGAAATATCAATGAATGGCATCCATTGTAACATTCAACTCGTAATACACATGCATAATTACACCTCAGGCCACTAGTACATGCATTTCATCTGCTATGCATGTGAGCAAATTCAGAGCCCCATTTAGAAGCAAGTTAATTTTAATATGCGTATGTGATATGCATGAGGACCAGATGGGAATTCAGATTAAAGAACAGTGTGAAAGTGCTGTTACTGAACAGACAATGGGGTATAATGCCTTATTTTACACACTGGGTACTGTGGTCATTAAAAAGGGCAGAACGATGAAATGGATCTTACTGTTCATACTGATGTAAGGAAGAGGGTAACAGGAAAACAGATTAGCCATGGAAGAAAACAGCTTTAACTCATTTATATGAGCTTAGGTGCATAACACTAGTGTAACAGGTACGAGTAAGAAGATACAGAAGAGAGGTAACTGGACTACAGCGTCCTCAGTCAACAATCAGAACTATGAAGGGTAAAAACACATCATCAGCTCAGATGAATCCAGCCCGAGTAACTTCTTTCCCTGTCTTACAAGTTATTCTAATAGAGAGAGACGGGATCTCCTGGATGCCTCACCAGTTTGAATACTCCTTGGTTTTGCTCCCAAATATGCCAGGTTCACATTTGCTTTCCTGCCATCAATGATGGGGTTTGGGTCTTTGCATGCTCTTTCAGCTGCAGCTCTGTCTGCCATGGTCACCTGGAATTAAGCACAGCCTTGTTTGTAGCAACAGCACTTTGTAAACACTCCAGCAACAGGCACTAAGTAGGGTTTATTTATTGTTCTATTTTGAATCGGGAGCTAAACTCTGCTTCACGCAGTCTCACTTGCATAGCAAGATGGGAAGGGCTCCTGGGGACTCGATAGAAAAGAGGGCTCCCCCCTCGCCAAGTTACTCCGTTGGGCTTAGGCCAGTTGTTTTCCCTTGCCTTTCCACCTCCTCCCCCATGCTTTTTTAAGAAGTTGGTGGAGCCAGTCCCAAGACTCCCCGCAGCAGAGACAGTTCAGGGGAGCTGGCCGGCGAGGATCCGCGCTCCCCAAACGCGGGCGATGTAGAGACCGAGGGCAGCACATCGCGCCTCGCTGAAGCCCGCAAAGAAATAAGGCGGCGGGATCGGGGGAAGGAGGTGCTGAAATGAACGGCACGACCTCGGCCGGCACGGGGGGGCTTTCCTCTCTAGGCCCCCCACCCCACCCTTTGTCC